TCACTGAGTATACTTGCAGGGGCGGGGGGTGGGGGGGACATATATTTACCCACTTTCTTTCCACATCATTCAAAAACAAAAATGAAAACAAAATTTCAAATACATTTGGAAAACAATAGGTTCAGTAAATAAGTTTTGTGCCATTTCAAAACATAGTATTTGAAGAACTTTCATGTATGTAATCTGAGTTAGTTCTTAATGACAACTCTAGGACAACTGTTTCCAAATCGTGTTCCAAAGAGTAGGTATAGTCTCACTGGGCTATTTATAGAATACACTAAAGGCTGGAAAACCTATGAGGCAAAGTAACATATTGATGTTATGTTATGTAGTTATGTAGTTGCCTCATCTAATTAATTTTCGATCTCTGATCCCCTCACTCTGCCCATTGGTTGGAAATTCCTGACTGTTTTTGAAGAACTGAGCTCTTACCTGTGGCCCTAGCCTTAACACCTATTACAATAGCCCTGCATAAAGTCTGGATTCCATGTTTACAAATATCAAAATAATTTTTTATTTAACAAAGGTGAGGAGTGGGAAGGATCCAGTGAGAAGGATTCTCTTACTTTGTTACCTTCCAATATCAGAACCACTCAAATAATTGGCCTTGCTTTTCTTTCATGTTAATCTAATAAACGCTGAGATTGAATTCTAGCTTCCAAAGTTGTTTTCAGGCTAAGGAGAATGTTTACTCTTCTCACTGTTAATTCTTAATAGACATTAATACCAGTTTATATACTTGTGTGTGTAAATTGATCACAGAGCAGTATCCCCAAATCAAACACATTGACATAAATCAAGTTTCTGGGCCACAAAAGAGAGGATTAGAGGATAATACCTTGACACAGTGAGCTACAGCATTTAAGAAGAATCCTTTCTGGAACTTAGATGACATAGTTACTTGATGAACACCAGCAACAAAAGATTTAAAAAATCAATAGGAAGCTCGAGATGAGGAAATAATGTAGATGATTCAAATTAGTTTCAGTGTTGCATTTAGAATTTAAACCTTCTTCTCTCCCCCTGCCTATACCCTAAGATTAAACATGTCTTGGTTTTCTATACTTTGTCTCTCAGATATGACCATGGCTTTATCCTGATCTGTGTTCATATTAAAAATGCAGATTCTCAGGGCTGGGGTTGTGGCTCAGTGGTAGAGTGCTTAACTAGCATGTGTGAAGCACTGGGTTCAATTCTCAGCACCATATAGAAATAATTAAAATAAAGGTATTGTATCCACCTATAACTAAAAAATAATAAATTTTTTTAAATGCAGATTCTGGCTGGGTACAGTGGTGCACACTTGTAATCTCTGCAGCTTGGGAGCTAAGGCAGGAGGATAGCAAGTTCAAGACCAGACTCAAAATTTAGCAAGGGGACTGGGTTTGTAACTCAGTAGTAGAGCACTTGCCTTGCAAGTGTGAAGCACTGGGTTTGATCCTCAGCATCACATAAAAATAAATAAATAAAAATAAAGATATTAAAAAAGAAAAACTTAGCAAGGCCCTTAGCAACTAACTCAGCAAGACCTTAGCTCTAAACGAAATACAAAAAAGGACTGGGGATGTGGCTCAGTAGTTAAGCACCCCTGTTTCAATCCCTGGTACAAAAAAAAAAAAAAAACAGATTCTGATCAAAGGTCAAGTAGAGTTGGAGACATGAGTATTCCTTTCTAGCAAGCTCCTAGGGGAAGCAGAGGCTGCTGGTCTGGGGACCCCCTTTGAGTGTAAGTGATCTAGGTTCTATCATCTTCAGTCTGGAGAACTGTGACAGACTCCTAATTGATCTCCTACCTCCCTTTCCAATCTATTACCCAATCTGCAGCTAGAGTGATTTCTTTAAAATGGACATTTGAATAAGTTCCTTCACTTTCTCTCTTCCCAGCGGTCTCAGATCCTACTCCTGCCTCTCACACTGGTTTAGACTCAAGCTCACTGATGAATTAATGTTCCAATCTTTATAAACACCCTATGACCTCTATTTCTGAGTTTTCTCACAAGTTCAATTATCTGACAAACATTATTTTTCTTCTAGTTACTATCTTATTCCCTCCTGGACCCTTCCAGACTTTAAAAATCCAGATTTATATGCCCTTCCTCTGTGATCTCATAGCACCCTGAACATCTCCTATCATTTAACTTATCAACCTATTTAATTAATTTTCTTTAATTTTTATTATTAGATCATAAATGAGAGGGATGTTAATTGCATTTTTTTTCATTATCCCTTCACCATGTTGTTTTGCAAATGGAAAATGTTTAAAACATATGCACTGAATTGAATGGAAAAGAGGAGAGTACTCAGAAAGTAAATAACCATAAGAGTTTCAATTTTATATCTCAGATCTCTTTTTCATGGAGTCAAAATCAGAGTTACTAAATGTTGAGGATAAAATTGACAAGGTCATCAAATTGAACCACAAACTGTTTTGAAGCTTTCTAACTATTTTAGAATCATACTACATTTACAGTTCTGCTTGAATTGTATCTTACCATATCTTACTTTGTTATCTTAAGCAAGATAGAGCACATATTTTATATATAAAATAAGGCAGGCCCTGACCAGCTCTTATCTTTACAGAAGAGCTAGCAAATATAAGCATAAATTGCAAAGAGATATGCAAAATAAAGAGTAGATGATAAGTGGTGAAAGGATTAAATGTGAAATAGTTTTATAAAAGATTTTTCCCTAAGGAAGTTTTGCATCTTAGTGAGATGTTTGTGGATAGATTATTTTTTCTTACTGGAACTTGGCTTAGAGGTTCCCAAATGCATTATTTTAAAAACTCAAAATGGAATCTTCTCAAGATTAAAAGTCACACAAGCTTAACAAAAATCTATGTGAATTATGTACATTAATTTAATAAGCTTTGTTTATTTTATTATATACAGAAATAGAATTGATCATGTATTATATCTTCACGTTTTTCTTTTACTATGATTTTCTTAACTAAAAATTTTCTTTTATATTTCGAGGAAAGAATAGTATATGAAAAACAATAGGATCCAGCTGGTCTTTTTGTTTCCTCATTATTACTAGATCCTAAATCTCTCCCCTTATCTGACTCAGGATTTTGGTGTAGCAAGATAAGGCCATTCCTATCAAGATATTGGCTGAAATGGGAAAGGTCATCCCTGGGAGCCCACCTGCTGCAATCCGGAGTTAGGAAGGGATTTCATGCCCCAAGGTGTCTTTTTATGGTGTATGTATGTTGCACACAAGGACATTCAAAGACCATTATTTTCATGGAAATAAATTTACTTTCAATTTAAACATGATTAAGCCTACTATGAATGTACCTCCTTCACATACTAGAACTTTAAATACATACTAATTTCATCTGCAACAATCAGGAGAGTTAAGTACATTCCCCAATAAAACTGAGGCCAAAAAAAATCAAATTCCAGTCAGTGGCTGACCCAGGATTCATCACTTGGTTGGGTTTCATTTCTAAAGGACAAGGTTTTGTTGTTTGTTTCCCTCTCTAAGGTCGCTGCCTCTGGGAAAGCAAAGTCCCAAAGACAATTCTCATTTTCAATTTCAAAAGTTAAAAAAATAAAAACAGAAGCAAAAAGAACAGGATGTGTGAAAGCAGATCCTCGCTGTTATCCATAGATCACGTGATAGACCAATACTCGGCCTTGGAGAGGCTGCTGCTTCCTCTCCGCCCTCCCACAGTACACCCGCTCCCTGCACTCCAGGTGTAACCACCCCAGCACACCACCGGGCGGTGCAAAGTTTACGAATTTGCGCAGTGGAAGTGCTGAGAGACCACCAGAAGTCTAGAGAAATCAGAGTCCTTAAAATGAGTATTTAATCGCCCCTCGTCCATTTACACTGTTACTACCCCCATTCAACTACTCGGTAATGGGCTTGTAATTCACTCTTCCAAGATGCCTTCCCCTAGCCTTTGTCAGTCACAACCCAGTGAACCAAACCGTGTCACTGCTCCGTCTGAATCTTCGGTGGCTACCGAGCACCAAGTTAAAAATCCTTTTCGTGGCCTGCCTGGAGCTTCAAGTTCTAGACCCAACACTGTACACTGACTTTCACCTCTGGCCTTACACCCACGTGTTCACTCGCTCCCTCAGCCTGTTCTTCCCTAAGTCCTTGAACACCCTGCCGATTACTTACTTCTGTCCTCCAAGTTCTGCTTTTCCAAGTCGCACGGGTTCTCCAAGTCTTAGCCTAGATGCCACTTAGTGTGAGGTCTTTTCTGGCAGACCCCCCCATCCCCACCCCGCCCCGTAGCCCCTTCACCATTCATCTAATTAGATTTCCCTAAATGTGCTACCAGAACACCCTTCGTGTCACTTAATGCCATTTGTGCTTGTCTTATCATTTTAAATGTCTGCAAGCGCCACCTGGACTTAGCACACTGCCTTAACTTTGAATAACTTTGAATGAAGGTAATGAATGAATGAATGAATGAATGAATAGGGAGACTTAAACTGGATTTTACTTGCCACCATCAACATCCTATCGTCAAACTATTTCAGGTGCTATCACTGGCATGCCACCCCCACAGAGTTGGCAAAGTCATGAAGGATAAGGGTCTCTGCTGCAGCGTCTGCCACGCACTCAGACACTGTGGAATATGACCGCACAACTAGGCTTTGGACTGGTCTTTCCACCTGGCGTTCTTCTGGTTCCCAGGTTCACGTGTGATGGAACAGGTGGAGCCCTGGCAAGGCCGGGGAGCGAAGAAGGGAGCTCCCCTGAGGGGAGCCCTGGTCCCGCCTCGGGTCACCGCCTGGGAATACGACTCCCTCTTCTGGGGGCCAAAGCGCAGCGCGGGGCGGGGCAGGGCGGGGCGGGACCGGAGACGCCCCCGCCCGACTGGGCGCTGGGCCGCCCCAATGGGATTCGGTGCCGGGCAGCGGCTGCGCCCCATCCAGGCGCCGCGCTGGGCCACGGAGGAGGCGGCCCGGCTGGGGCAGCGGCGGCGCAGGGCCCGTCGAAGGGAGGACGAGCCTGCCAAGCTGGCTCCCGGAGGGGCTATGGTACCCCGTGCCCGCGGCGGCGGCGGCACACTGGCTGCGGCTCCAGGACCCGGCCTCCTGGCCCTGCTGCTCGCTGTCTGCGCCCCGCTCTGGCTGCGGGCGGAGGAGCTCGGTGAGTAGAGCGCATCTGGCGGACAGGAGGACCCTGGGCGCTGCGGGCGGGCTGCGGGGCAGGCCCGGCCCCAGAGACCCAGCGCGGGAGGAAGTCGGGCTGGCTGCCTACACTGTTGGCGCTGGCTCTGCCAGGCCGCGGCTCCGGGGTAAAATAAGTTACAGCATTCCGATCGCTCCCCACAAACTCTTTCCTTCCCTACCAAACAAGAAAATCAACTTGGCGCCTCTCCACTTTCTCTTTCCTGTCTCCCAGCCTAGATCACAGTTTCCAGACTTTCTGACTCTGCCGGCCCGGTGAGAAGTGACATGGCCCAGGGGTCGCCTTAGGGGAGAGTCTGTGCAAGGGTCGGTTCTCTCCAGTCTCCTTTTGAACAACTGCTCAGGCTGGGCGACTGGGCCCTCCCAATGCCGCTCCTCCCGCGCGGCGCTGGAATCCTAGCGTGTGCATTTGTCTGCTCCTGCTGAAAGGTTGGGCAGGGTACCCCCCCCACCCCGCCCCCAGGTAGACCTCCGATCAGGCAGCCAGACCGTTTCTCCTCACGAGTGTCCTGCTTGGCTCGGATCCTTCTAGGTTATTTGAGAGTGTCACCTCCTGACCAGACTACCTTTTCTCCAGACCTGACTTCAAATTGGAACTCATTAACCCACAACCGACTTTACCTTCTCTCTGTCTACCAGATTGAAGCCGGAAACTAGTTACCAGCCCTAGGTGACTCTACTTCATTAATCCTCCCTAATTAGTTCTTTTTTGATAGACAGCTTTCTGTCAAGTTTTTTTTTTTTTTTCCAGCTTTTGTTCCTTTCCTCTCCTCCCCTGCTTTTGCCCCTGTATAACAGGTTATTTAGCAGCAGGTAGTCTATGTAGAATAGTTGACAGCTCCCGTCACCACTGTGCTTTTTGGTGAAACAAATTTCAAAGCTAAACCAAATGCTGGCACTTTTTCCACTAAATCATCCATCCATTCCAGTTGTTAGTGGTTCCTGAGTTTTCTTGCATACCTATTAGTCAAAAGACTAACCCCAAAGTTACTTTGTTGACAGTCATCATAACACTATACTAGCATATGGTAAAATTTGTAATAAATATGTAAAGTTTTACTAAATATACAGGATTTTTACAATGGACGTTTGAACTATTAGAGGTTTTTTTTTTTTTTTTTTTTTTCAGGTCACTGCTGGAAAATGCATCTTTTATACTGTACATTTTTACCAATTTATCCAAAAGTATGTCTCCACACTAATCTGGCCAAAGCTGTCACTTTTCTTTCCATGTAGCCATCCAGGCTGTTAAGTGGGCACAGGGTAGAACAGTTCTCTGGGAAGTGTGATTGTTTAGATTCTTACTGAGCTTTAAATTTGAGACTTCATCGTCAAAGATTGATGGAAGAGAATATTGTCTTTTGGGTTTTTGCAAAACATTCTATATAGTTAGGAATTTTTTTAAGACAGTAAAGATGGAGGTATGTAGTCACACACAAAAGGTAAAGTTAGGACTGAGGATGTACCTCAGTGGTAGAGCACCTGCTCAGTGTGCCAGGAACCCTGGGTCCCATCCTCAGCACCTAAAAAAAAAAAAAAAGTAAAGCTTATATTTGGGTCCTTTACTGAAAAACATCTTCAGTATAGAAAGAAAAATCTCTTATTTAAGCAAAGAGGCATAGTCAGTGTTTTGTTGTTTGGGGTTTTGTTTGTTATTTTGTTCTGTTTTTCTTTTTTTAATTTTATTTTTTACATCTGTGATTTTTTAGACTAACACTTGGTCATGTATTTTTCAAGTGTTCATAAGTTTGAGCATGCATACTCTAAAAGTTGAGGTATGCTCTTGGCGCATAGTGGAATGGTGGTCATACATGATATCAGGTCTCTCATTGTTTAGAAGAGGGCAGCTTTAATGTAATAGCCTATTTCTTGTGAGAAAAAAAACACTAATATATATATATAAATTGTATATATATATATAGATAGATAGATAGATATAGATATATATCTATCTATATATATCTTTTTTTGTATTTTACCTTTCTTATTCATGGATTCAACTTAATGTGAGGCTTCTTGGTTCTCCAGGCTCCCCAACCTATCTGATAATTAATCTCTCTGGAGGCTTTAAAAAGCCTCTGTCCCTTATTTTAAATCAGATTTCTAGAAGGTGGGGCTTGGGAATTTGCAATTTCACAAAGTTCCCCCAGGTAATTCTGATTCAAATCACCTTTGAGATGGTGGAAACAATTTCAAATGTTAGGGTTGGGCTGGCTGAAGGGCTACCATTTGTGTAATAGATAATATTAGACTTTTATTCATTTGTTATGTTTCAGGAAACAAATGTCATAATTTAACTCAAACATTTATAAGCCTAATCAATGAAATTATTTTGAATTTTTGCATGTTTGTTAGGGTCTGGTGACCCTATGAAGTTATGCTGGTTTCTTTGTGTGACTGCTGCTTGATATAGATCATGCTTTTGTTGAATTTATTTACAAAGTGTCCATCCCTCCTGGTGTTCTCTGTCTGCTAAGCCCTAGGCACTTGGTGAACAATGTGGGCTGACTTCAGCTTAATCTTTCACACTGTTCTTCTGGACCCACTTAAGTAAAATTAGATATTTGCATAGACTATTTCTCGTGATTTTTGACCTTCCATAATATGACATGTAAATTGATCACTAGTTTTGATTCAATTTGTATAAATCCATAGGATTGGGTTTAGTCCTGCTTTACTACCTTCATGTAAGTTTTGTAGAATAAAATATCCTTAATTATTTTGTTGTATTTGCACAAACTAAAAATCTCTAATTCTTTCTTTACAAAAATATTTGCAAATGGGTACTAAGAATTTCCTTCTTTTGATTTAAGTAGTGGGGGAAAATAAAAATAATCAGTTGACCTCTGAAGAAACTTTTAAGTGTCAGTTGAAACCCTGGATGCTTACAATTGCTCATTTGTTACTCTTAGAAGGTCTGCTCTTCAGTCTTCAGTCATATATGTGTGGTTAGACATGGGTTCCACTGATATCTGATGTTTTAGGTGAGTGGCTTTTTAAAAAGTAAGTACAAGTTTATTCTGGCACCTTCTACACTAGTGTATACACTCCCCCCAGACTTTCCCTGATCTTATCTGTCTAGGAAAAAGTCTGAGATTCAGTCAGCCCAGGAGTCTTCTGAGTTCCTGAGGGCAGTGACTGGGACTGTCATCTTTGTCTTTCTAGCATCTGACAGAGGCACTCAATAAATATTCCTTGAGTTGAACTGAACATCCTCTTTGTGTTCAGGAGATATTTTTAGACCATTTCCTAGTTAGTAGAAACTAAGTAGTAAAGAGCCTACCAAAGTTCTTTATGAAGGTATGTTTGCAGTGTCCACTAATTAATTTTTCAAGCCCAGCTCTCTTGCATGCTTATTTCTACATGTAAGGATGCCTTTTAAATGAAGTATAGCAGAAAGGAGAGAATGTGCCAGCAGGACAATATGTACCATGTCTCTTGGTTTTAGTAGACATAATTTGCAACACTCAGAAACATTAAGAAAGACATTATGTTAAAGGATTCAGTGAACAAGTCAAAGGAATTTTTTTGTTCATGGTATAAGGGGAAAAGGGAAGGAGAGAGGGAGAGATGTTATAGGGAAGCAAGAGAGCTCAAAGCATGTTATTAAAGCAGGATTTGAACTCTGAATCATGCCCTGTACTGTATTTACTAACTTTTCATCTCATAATTTAAGCCCTTTAACCTTGTAGTACTGAGACAGACTTGAAACTCTCCCGCCAGTGGGGGGGTGGGAACCCCTACAATACTGGAAATAAGTAAAACTTCTGACATTTATGAGAAATTATGTTTTTATTTTTAAGATGCATGGGGAAGTTTAATTAATTGCAGACTATGACAAAGGTTTGATCAGGTTAAGGCAGAAAAATAAAAGAAAGCTTGGTTATGGCAGTACATCCTATAGAGTTTGGGATTTGTCTCTTTGTGTTTCCTAAAGCTTAGAGTGAACTCTATACATATTAGAGCAATAGATTGTTTTCTTTGTTAAGGAAATATTGCACATAACCTGTCTGGTATTGCAATTAGTATATATTTAAAGCTCAAAAATTTCAGCTACCTTACTCAGCATTACTGTTTATTACTATTAGTTTAAAAAATATTAGGGCTTCTGCCTCCTCTGCCACCTCTCTTACCTTATTCCCTGCCATGCACCCACATATTCAGGACTGTCCAGCCATACTGGCTTTCTTGCTATTTCTCCAAGGTGTCAGGCACCCGTCTACCGTTGGGGTCTTTGCAGAGGTTGTTCCCTGTGCCTGAAGCAGTCTTCCCCCAATATCCACATGGCTCCCTCCTCCTTGAGTCTTTGTCCATAAGTTGCCTCTTAGAGAGAACTTTCCTTAACCACATGAAACCTTCCATTCCCAGAACACCATCTTCCCCTTCTCTTCTTTCAGTTTTTTTCTAGAGCACAAAACCTCTTCCAATAGACTATGTCATTTACACTTTCATTTGACTGTCTTCCCCCTACTAGAATATAAGGTCCACGAGGAGGTCTGTGCCTTGAACAGCAGCCTGCATCTTTGGGTGCTCAGTGGGGAAGAGTGCTCAAGGGGTGAGGACCCAGTGAAACAGTCCTTGCTCCATTAAAGACTCAGACCTGACTCATTGAGAATTAAATCCTGGAAGCAGCAGAATAATGAAACTGTGTGTCTAATTCAACTGTTGTTTGTAAGTAAAAGGACTGAAAGTAAGGATTTAAAATAGAGAAACTCATTCTGGTTGTATGAGAAGTCTGGCATTTGGGATGCAAAGAAAACTATTTTTTTAGAATTTCAGGTCTTCTTTCTTTCTTTCTTTCTCTCTCTCTCTTTCTTTCTTTCTTTTCCTCATTAAACTGTGAAGTAATTTTGTATTTTTGTAACTGAAGAGTCATGTCGTTGTCATGTTCCAGATGTCCATTCTCTGCTTTGTATATATTTTTAAGAAGTAATTGTTTGCCTTGTGGGGTAGAGGAAA